TATCCATTAGACAATTTTGTTTTTGGAGAAAACAGCGGATACTTAGGTCTAAAATGACCATAGTTTCTGTTATGGTGGCCATTGTTTTATAAATCAGAAATATTGTTGTACTTATATAGTTATTAATCAACGACGAGGTGACCACGAGGGGGCCATATGTGGAGATCGCGGTGGCGTATTTGCTTTGCGTGTACAATCGTAAAAAATTATTAACCTTGAAATTTTATCTTCCAAATTATATCAGGATAAAACCACAAAATGTGACCAAAGCGTTAATATTGGTATTTACATATTGACCAAATTATTTTTTATTATACAGCTGTGGTGAAAATGGGCAACCATCAAAACGGTTCACAGGAGGACCACCACTATGAAAAGTATCATAAACGGGTAAGAAACTATTTTCGTGTCTGTTGACTTCGTTTGTTTAAAAAAAAAACATTGAGCACTTTATTGATTTTTTTACAGGAGAAATCGCCTTTTCGAGACCGCTCCCACGAAGAACCAAGAGACAAACAATATCCTTTTAAATAAAGTATCATGGGTACAAGTATGTTTACATGTTATATACAATTTTACTATTTGTATATATTATTAGAATGTACTTAGCTTATGCTATTATTATTTTTTGTTAAAATTACGTTCACAATAGTTAATAGTTTTCACTGCATTTATAAGTAATGTAACAACGATCTGCCGGAGGATCGCCTCCTTTACACCTTACTGATACTTTTTTGTATTTAAAGTGTATTAAGATAAAAATAAACATGCTTCATCGATTAATTAATCTATTATAACTTCTTTAATGAAAAATACCAGGCGATCAAATGACTCGAAGTTAAGAAGATAGAAACTAACAGAATACAATGAACATTGAAGAGATATAATAACAATCGCATATTTATGCGAGCATCTGGAATGTGACTATTCATAAGAAATAAATTTGGTGTTTAATTGTTGTGTTTATTTAAACCTATTTGAAGTAAGATAAGATTACGTATATCTCAGAGTACGTTGATATTTTCCAGCAAATCGTATACAATTTAAGGATTATATGTAAAGAAATTTAAAACTCCTTGGAGCTCTTGATGTTATTATTCAATCGATGGTTGCATTAATTGATATGTCTTTCCAAGTTTAGGCCTACACAAAACTTCTATATAAGTACTTTGATCAATCGAACTGGCTCAATTGGTTGATTTAACACTGCTTTTACAAAACTCGCGATCTTTTCCTTTGCCGTAAGAACGCCTGATAAAGATACATAAAATTCGAAAATCAAAAAATACAAGACGGGGATCATACCATATTCCTCGAATTTGTGTTTGTTCTTGTTATATTCGGCGGTGACGAAATATGAAACTAAGCAATGTGTTCGCGATAGTATAAAAGGTAGGTAAAAACACTAGTTGTGTGTTTACGTCTCACTAGCGGTAAAGTGCGTTCTCGGCTCGCAGTATCATATAAAATCAACAATTCCAAATTTTTAACTAAAAACAAAGAGCGATGAAAAGTCCTCGTCCACGTTAACAACCACAATGACACTGAAAAAATAAAATGTATGTCCTAATTTTTGGAATTGATTTTGTACATAAGCAGACAACCAAATCAATACAAAATAAAATCATGCATGTGTAAATACGAAAAACAGTTGAAAAACACTCAACATTTAAAAAAAAATACCGTGTTACAAATGTAGTATTGTGCCAATTTGCAAAAGTAAAACAATCAGTACGCCACAAAAACTTAAGTCTCCCAAACAAAGAAAAAAAAGGAGAAAATAATTAATGTGCTGGAAGACACCTAACGGTATTAGCAACTATAAGTTCTAGATATTTCTGTGAAGATCACTTTAATGTAAGTTCAGATGAAGAAGTGTAAAAGCTTTTGGTTATGTTTAAAAAAACTAATATTTGTAAGCTATTTTGAAAAGGTTAGTAAATAGTTAGTAAAAATTAAATTTTAGCTTCAAAATGACATATCTATACAGAGTAAACTACAATGCCACCAATACCACAAATAAAGTTGAGACCTGGTTGTTTACCAAGAAAGTTTGCTTGGCAAAAATTAGGTATTAATACTTCAACTGATACCATAATCATACATACCACTGCAAAATGAAAGAAACTTATTTTAACAACTAAAGGGATGAGAGTAGCTTTAGTAGAATAAAGAGCCAATTTAAATATTACTTCAACTGAAATACATTACCCACATGCTATAAAAAGGAAAAGACTTGAATTGATAAAAGAAAGTGAACAGATAAGTCCAACTCCCATAAGAACTAATTGAAAATTTGAATACAACCATGGGAAAAGGTTAGTACTTTTTGACTCTGTTAAACATTTATTAATTATTCACATTTAGAGATTTATAGATAGGAACAATTTGTAACATACCATGTAGGAACACTAAAGTCCTAGTTTATTAATTTGGTAACCAATTTATATGCCCCCTAATTAGATATATAACTATATCCAATCTTTGTGAGTAAATAACAAGTGTAATTAAAAATATTATTTACTAACTTGTTATCTACTACTATACTTTACTACTACTAAATTTTTTTTCAGATCTACTCTAAACAACATATTTAAAAAAACAATAAAACCGTCCAGATAAAAATCGCAGCCAAACTAAGAAGTAAAAGTTTACAGGCTCAGAACATATCATGTACAACGCAAACCTCTCCAATAAAAGTAATAATAAACCTACAGATTCTTTAACTGCGATAACGTCATTGAAATATTCCTTAAAACTACTTTAATTTATCATCCATTTTAAAGAAACTATACAATAAAATAACTAAAAATATTATTTTCTACTTTGTACAGTTTAATATTTTTTTAATCTGTATACAATAGCAGGTTTTGTTTCTATCTGTGTTGGTACTTCAAACATGTCTTTATAACGTGCATTGTTTTAATATTGTGTTATCTACTATAAATCAAAAATAACCCGCGGTCACTGCGTAAGTAGCTCTAGATTTGTTAAATTCTTTGAAAGTTCATTTAATGATATAACGTTGGAAAAGATAAATTATGATTTGAAATTACCTTCCACGACATCGAAAGTCCGCCATTTTGAGTGCCTGCTATCTTAATCTCTATGGCGCTTTAGTAAATTTTCAAAATTGTTACTGCAGTTAAAACAGCTATAAACACGTTAGTATTTTTGGAATTAAATAATTATCTTAGAGCTCGGTTATCGTAATCTTAAATTACTTATTGCATTGAAATAAATACCTAAACGCACAAATTACGACGAGTCAATCTTGATTTAGATACTTGGTGAAAATGTAGATTATATAAAAGTTGGTCTATTTAATTTGTTTTAATCGTTACATTTTGATTAAATTTGATTTGATCGTTCTATTTGATAAAACTTAATTGAATGTCGAAAGAATAACTTATAAAGTTTCATATTTAAACTTTCATATTTCGTAATTTAAATTGTTATTTATTTATTTATTTTTAGATTTAGAATATTTAAAAGAAAGGTTTACTGTTATCATAAGACAAAGTCATACTTATGAAAATGTATTGTAAGTAACTCATTTTATTATATGTGTTTTATTAATTGAAATTGTAAACAATTTATAATAATAGACAAATATAGGTTTAATTTAACCTTTATGATCTGTACTACAAATTGACATATTGGAACGTTTTGAAACTTCAAACATGTCCATTAGGGAGTGTGGTTTAGAAAGATAAAAATAAATAAAAGTGTAGAAATATCGCGCACTTTACATGTAAGTTACCTAAAATTACCCGAATATCAATAAATACGATTTATTGATGTAGTATATGATAAGATGAATAATGATTTGGAATATGTACCCGCCGTATCTAATATCCGCCATTTTGAATATGTCCATAGTGTGGTAACCATTTTGTTTTTGTAGTACTTAAAATATATTTATGCTCAGATGAAATGAAATGGTAATTTTAAAATAATTCCTTTATGAATTAAAAATATATGATTTTTATTATTACACTCGTTGCATTATTGAGTTTGGGATTATTATTAAATTTCCAAACTGTATTTTGTTTTCGATGAACATCTAGTTCAATACATGGCGGCCATTACACTATTTAATTTTTTCAGTTATTTTGTGAAGTAAATAAATGAAATTAAATACCATTTCTTAACCAAAAAATTAACTATATAAAAAATGTTTTGAAAGAAAACAAAATACAGTTCTTGATTAAAAGTTATATGCTCAGCTGATGCAGCCTCCGCTTGTCACTTAAGAGCGTATTGGTTTTCAGTCTTCCGCTACAGTTTTGTCTATAGTTTGTTTAAATGAGGTTGATTAGTTTGACAATTTAGTAGGGATGGGTTGTGTAAAATCAGGAATGAATCTTTACGATATTCGATTTTTATTCTTATAGAAGTTAAAATCGATAGATTCATAGTTATAACTTATGGATAAAAATGAGAAGCACTATTTTCTCAAATCAATGACCTGCAGAACCAATAGAAATAATGTTTTTGCAGCGCTATAAAAATGGATGTTAATATTTTCGATTTTTACTATCATAGGAGTTGGAATCGATAAAATTATAGTTATTCCTTATAGATAAAATGTCCCATTACTATATTACCCGTCTAAAGTACAGCATTTTCCTTCCTTCATACAAATTTTCAATATTTTGTATGCATGTTCAAATAAATCAACCTTAATTAGACAAACTATAGCTATTATTACAAAGTTTATGTTATTTTGTACAGGGGGCAGTTGAGAGTTTAGCAATCATTGTGCGTGTTATGTAAATAAAATATAGATATACATATAACATACATACAAATGCGTTTAGTATAAAAATTAAGATATATTATTTAGAAATGAAAAGTTAATATCGTACTTTTAAAAGGGTTATTTAGTTTGTCTAATGTTAAGTGACATAGGTTTTGAGTCAAGGATTGTATCTCTAGTAAATAAGATTTGTAAATACAAAATTTTAAAGATTTTGATTCTCATTATGCGCCGCATTTCAAATTGAAAACAACCGTTATATCTAACCGATCTGGCATACATTACTGCTAGTAATTTCTTAACTAACCGATTGAGGCCTTTATTATAAGTGTTTCTTCTAATGGTTAAAAGGTCGAATAAATATGTTAGATTTTGTTTCCTGATTACTTTGCATACATACTGTAGTTCTCTTCGAACCTTCAAGTTAAGGATGTTGTTTTTGTTCGTAAAAGGCATAATTAGATGTCATTTAGGTATTGCAAGCGCAAAACAGTATCTAATACACGCCTTTTTTATCGTTTCGTTTGTTTCGCGTTTCGTTAAATTGCTTTCCCGGCGCTCATACTTAATCTTGGGCCATAGTTGGGGAAAATGCATTGTGATGTTTGACATTTAATGTTTGTAACGGGTGTAGGCATCGTATCTAATGAGTACTTGATTCAAACATTTTAACAATGGAATGCTCGATTACATCAATGAACCACAGGAATACTTGCCAATATGTTAACATCGATCATCCAAAACGAGGTTTACAGGCTTAGCGCCATCTGTGCTGGCCACCTCAAGCCCGGTGAATCTGTAAATGCCTCTTCAAGGCAAAAAGTGACAATCCAATCACAAAAAATCTACCATCAAATTGAATCATCCTATTTGATCAACTGTTTTTAGATGTTTTTTAATTGTACTTAGCTACTATACAGTAGCTACTACTATGACGTAAGATTTAATTTTGTTTTTGGATAATTGATCACGTTAACTTTATATAAAATACTTTAAATAAACGGCAGCGTATAGTTTCCGATATTTATGTTTTAATTATTTTTTCAATTTCAGTTTGACATGGACCATGACAGTAAGAAAGTCTTTGAAACAGGCGTGAAGAGAAACTCCTTTAATCTAGAAAATAATCTGTATGAGATAATCCAAAAAGACGTCGCCAAACCCATTCTTTCAAAAAAACCAGAGGACGTTGAAGACATCACATGCACTTTCGTTCCATCAGGTGGAAAAATTTATGTACCAAAGAAGAAAAGTAAACTTAAAGTTTCAACTGTTAGAGATCTTCGTGTTGTGTATGAGGAAGATATATTTCAAACATTACCTAACGAATTAGAAAAACAACAGAAGCTCTTGCTAAGAAAAATAAAACATGGATTTTCGAAAGATGAAAACACTAGAAGCATTGCTACAAACTTGTTAAAATCAAGTATTCCAATTTCTAGGCTATCGTGGCAAATGTTAATGAACCTTAATCCAGAAGAAAAAGTTCATTCCTCGCAATACATTTTATGGGACGGAAAATGTATTCGGATCAATGGAAGCAAAGGTGGAAGAAATAAATTCATATTTAATTATGATGTATGTAGAGGCATTAATAAAGAAGTTTGTGTAAAAACAACTTCAACAGGAAGTAAACTTTTAAACAAAAAGAGAAGTTTGTTGCGCGCCTCATTGAGTGTACGGTTTAAGCCAGGGCCATTAAGTAAAAAGAAACATTTAGATTGTTCTCATCAAAAACATAATGTCGGGGAAGTTAAATTAGTAGACTTACCAAAACCGGGCTTACGTGTTCAGCCAACGTACGGGACACCGTTAGAACCGACAGTAAAAACATTTTTGCAAAACTTGCGTGAAAATGATGGTACTATATCTGCGAAATGGGCAGAGTTTGCGGTTTCGATGCTAGGAAAGGTAACAAACCAAGTTATTCATATAGAAAATGAAAATTTCATCACATTTAATTTAAATTACAAATATGATAAGACCCAATTTTTAATGCGACAGGATCAAGATATTTTACATGATACAATAAAAGACAAATTAATTAGTCGAAAATTTTCTCCTTGCACATTATACGATGAATCAAGATTGACATCTGAAGTTAGAGGCGTACTCGACGGAATAGTAGACGCAGTTGAAATAAGTTTAAATCAAAGTCTAGTGTACCCACCATTCGATGAACTCAGAGATATACCTACCACTAGTAAAAGTGAGATTTCTATTCAAACCAAAGAAAAACCTAAACGAAGATATGGAGAGTTAGATAGACTTGATGTAACGGTAATAAAATTATCAGAAAGTCATAAAAAAAATGCTACTGAGCCATGTCAACAAATATTTTGTAGCTTAGGATGCATTTGCGGTTCGTTAGAATGTAATTATAATCTAAAAGATCATTGCGGTCGCGTGGATTGCATGTTCAAATGTAAATGTGACTTTTCTAACTTTAAAATCACGGATTCTTTAGACGGTGATTGTGCTCAGCTCCACCCAGGGTTATACTTTCTGGATCAAAAAATAAACGGTACATTGTCAAAAGAAGAACAAAAGTTTCATCAAACTGTTATTTTAAAAGATAATCAAAGCATTTTACTAAAGTCCAATAGACGAAATTGGAAAGCAACAAAAAAGTACGAAGATTTTTATAACAACTTATGTTTACGATCTCAAATAAAAAATAAAAAATTACTGTCTGTTGTAGTGACTAAATTAAATTGTGGTAATATTGAACCTTGGTGTATGGTTCATAACCTATATAAGTGCTTTTGCAAAGGTAAATTTACAGAATGTTTAACTTATGATGTTAGTAAAAACGAACAGAAACAGACAACTAATGAAGCGGATAAAGAAAAACTTCCTATGCCAGGCGTTTCTGAAAAAAAATCTGTCGATTTGAATATCACTCAAAACGTTGATACAAATACTTTGCACAACGCAGATGGTCCATGGACTAATCTTTGTTCAAGAGTACTTCCTTATAGAGGTAGAAATCACGGCATTAAATACTATAAAACAACAAATAGAAAAATTGTAGAAATGGAAAAAAATGATATTAGACTTCATGCTAAAATGACAAGTATTTTAAACAAATTTCATGCGACGAAAAGTACGGATGGAGTTAATGAAAATAACACGAAAGTTAATGAAATCACGATGGGAGATCATGGAAACGACACGAAAGTTAATAAAATCACCGAAATGGGTTATGGAAACGACTTGGAAGCTAATGAAATCATGGAGGAACTCAATGAAAATACGGAGAAAGTTAATAGAAAATCAGTGAAAGTTAAGAAAAACGCGGAGGAAGTAAATAAAAAATCATGGAAATCTAATAAAAACACGGAAGAAATAAATAAAAAAGCTGCGGAAGTTAGTAAAAAAACAGAGGATGATGGAGTTAAGGATTTCGTAGATGTCGCTAATGTACCCTTTAAATTAGATGAGTTGTTGTTTAATATATTAGAAGAACAACAAAAATTGATGGAAAGCATGCGTACGCGAAATAAAAAGGCTGTCGTGAGAAATGACATTGCCACAATGCAAACGCAACGATTACCAAATAAAACTAAATTGGTACAATGGCTTGAGACAAGTTATAAAAAATACAAGGATAGACTAGATTCAGGCACTTGGAAAACATCGTTAAGTCCTCCAGGGTCTGGAAAAGTTGCTTTATACCCATGGAATTTTATCTTAAGTAGGTATCGTGAAAGAAAAAACCTGTTTCTAATTTCAAAACAAAAACCTTTTCGCATTTTTATGGCTGTTGATACAAAACACAATTTATTAAGTAAATGTGTTAATGTCAACCTCATTCCACGATCACATCTTGATAACTATCCATTGATGATTCGTAATTTATTAAATGACGTTAAAGATGATAATGAAACCTTTTGTATACTCTGTGGATTATCTCATTGCTGGGAACTAGTTGGTTCTGTTACGAAGGTTAATGAAGAAAAACCTGACGAATCTGTTTCGAATGATCTTGAAGACTCTGATGACAATTTTAAAGATGTGGTCGACCATTCTGAAAACTTGGTGGATCATACTGAAAACTTGGTAGACCATTCTAAAAACTTGGTGGACCATTCTAAAAACTTGGTAGACCATTCTAAAAACTTGGTGAACCATTCTGAAAACTTGGTGGACCATTCTGAAAACTTGGTAGACCATACTGAAAACTTGGTGGAACATACTGAAAACTTGGTGGACCATTCTGAAAACTTGGTAGACCATACTGAAAACTTGGTGGAACATACTGAAAACTTGGTGGACCATTCCGAAAACTTGGTGGAACATACTAAAAACTTGGTAAACCATTTTGAATGCTTTGTGGATCATTCTGAAGACTTGGTTGATCATTCTGAAAATTTAGTTAGCCCTTCAAACAACGAAAATAATTTGGACAATATCACAACACACGTAGCCACTGATCCTAATTTAAATAAGCATGAAAATACCCAAGTATCAAATTGGTTCGTTATGACGTTAGAAAATGATTTTGTGGAGATTCAATTTTTTAAAAAAGGTTTTTTTATAAAGTATGATAGTATTGTAAGGGCTATCGTTGTATCAAGAAATTGTAACAAAACTGTTAGATTGTCGGTGCAAAAATGTAACGAAGGGGGTAGTGGACCACAATTTGGTTTATACGCGATACCTAACATGCATGATAACTGTGTATTTATAGGACCATATGAGAAAAATGAACCACTGGGAATAGAAGCTTTAAGAAAACCTGAAATTATTCCGAGTAAAAATAAAACAAGAGGCATGTGGATAACAGTAAATAAAATTGACAACGCTGAAGTAATTAATAATCCTCTTTCTTTTATGCCATCATTTAATAAGGACCAAGACCAGGTAATAACATTTGAAAACAATGAATACTCAGACTCAGAGAAACATATGACACCGTCAACTTCTATGAACACTCAAGAACTAGCGACTTCGAATTCTGAAAAAAAAGTAATTAAGGAGTGCGTTAAGCCGGTTAAAATAAATAAAGCGGATTGTTTTAAACTTCCTTTAAAGATTTTGACGAAACCATTATCGTACAGATGTTATAAAAAGGGAAGCAAAATTCATATACAAAGAAAGTCACCTTTAGATTCCTCTTTGACAGATGACATGAATGTTGCGCAAAAACACACTCTTAAAAATATACTCGAAAGCTCTAAGGTAACAAAAGAGCCGTTAATTAATGAACCTTTAACCAAGATACCATCTCAAATTAAAATAAATAATCTTGCATCCTTGCTTGGCATGATGTCTCCCAGTGATAAATTGCCAACTAGCAAGAGGCCTGAAAAGGGCATGTTTGTTTTAAAACCTGAAGAAATCAATGAAAGATTAGCGTTTAAGTATTTTAGTATATTGAAACCCGATGAAATAAATAATAGCAGCACCGTGTCATCTACTGAAGGACATGACTCGCTCCACGAAGACTCTGCTGCAATTTGTCCAGTCGGTGAAAAGTCTTTTGATTCCGAGACAATCCCTGCAGTTTTTGAAGACCCTCTTGATCGCCCTGCAAGTAGCACATCAGTAGAAGACACTCTTGATTCCCCGCAAATTTGTTTAGTTGGCGAAAATACTCTCGAATCCTCTACAAGCTATTCCGTCGACAAAAACTCTGCCGACTCTTTTGCAATATGTTCTCCGCCGGCGGCGGACGTTTATATTATTTCGGATGAGGAAGATGCTGATAATTTGCCATTTACCAAGTCGTGGAAAGATGTATGGATTTCGTGCTCAAATATAAAAAACTTAGGTTGGATACCAGGAATAAAAAATGAGGAAAACAAAATAAGTTTCAAATTTCCAGGTTTTGCGAGTACTGATTATTATGATGAAGAAATAGCATTTAATAAAATAAATCAGTAAGTATTTCTGCAAGTTAACTTATAAAACGTTTAAAACGTAGTATGAACCTGAACTACTACTTAAGAAATCAGTATCTGTGATCTGACTATATTTCTATTCTACACGTCCCGTCTTCCACGGAATCCACTTGCCTTTCTCATCATTTCCTGATTGGACCATCCGGCACCTCGCTTATCAGACGAATCGTAGTACGTACATCCTATTTCTGTGATAATCACCAACGTAATCTACCTCACACTTTAGGCAATTAGTATAATAATCTGCTTGCTCTACTCTCTTATTTTAAATATTTAATTTCAGAGTATTCACGAGAAAAGTATATGTTCCAAGAAATATAACAATGGAATGGAGAGTTGTAGAGAATGTAAAGGATATAAATGTGGAAGATGAATTGACATTAAATTATTTAAACTCGGATTTTGTAAGTATACATTTATGGCACCAAAAACATTTAGAAGAGTGTAGTTATTATTCTTTTTACATTTTTTTTTCAATGCTACGTTTTATCTAGTCATTTTATACCTCCTTTAAGTTGACACCTGTGTGTTTGCATGATGTTTTTACCTCCCTGGAAGGAGGTAGTATTTGAGCTCTCGTTGATATTCGGTTTCTTCTATTGAACTAAAATGATAAAATTGTTAATTCTGCGATTGTTCCCTTAGAAAAATAAACCTTAATTTTGTATATTTAGGTGTTAACAAAACAAGGATTAGTACACAAAAATAGTCTGGCATTTAGAGGAAGGAAGAGAAGCAAAAGGGATAACAATTTGTTAGGGAGAAAGAAAAAAAGAATCGATGATGAATATGATTACGATCATGATGACATAGAAGTTGAGTACATCGAGATACCAGAGGACAGTGTGAGCCCAGTGTTAGATGATGAGCGGAAAGATGATGACAATGACGAAGTTCCATTTGATGACAGCAAAATGCAAGATGAAGATTTTAACTTATTCGAAGACAAGGAAAAAATGGATGAATACCGTAAAGTATTTGGTTATACACCTAGCATCGCGGCAATGTCTAAGAGATCGAAACGTACATCTACATTAGTAAATAAGGTGAGGTAACGCGTTATATGACTTACGTATTTAAACTTAAATTGATTATGTAAACGAATTTGATATCTCGTCTTTTAAATTCCATCGACCACCCCTTGATTAAAATGTTCAAAATCCATTTGCGGCAAGACTTGACGAGACTACGTATTAATAAAAAATATATAAACTTCTATTATAACATGTGTATCTACTCAAGTAAACTGAAATTTATTATACTTTTTGGTTTACAGGAATCTTTTGAGCTCGACTCGGCGGACTGAATTTGATATATCTGTACAATAAGAGGAAAAGTTCTTTTAAAATATACTGGAAAATCAGATGTGCATACAAACAACTATAGAAATGTTTAATTCGGTTTTATACAACTGATATCGGCAATTTGAATTTCGAATGAAAGAATGATGAATGAATGATTCTTAGAAGATTTTTTTTCATTTCGTTATTATATATTTTTTAACATACAAATGTTATGAGAAAGCGTCTTTATTCTGCTATTAACAAGTGGTTAAAAATAGCGTCTCAGTTACTTTGCTTTACCACAAATATGAGTGGAATTACATATCGTGGGAGAGTAAAAATAGATTAAGAACTTTGAGGTCGCTTAATTTTTTTAGTCTGTGGTTTATTCCAATAATTTTTATTTGTTAAAGACTGTCTGCACTTTTTTCTTGTATTAAGAAATTGATTGCAATTTGATGAATTATTAATATGTTTATTATGAATAGTTTTATTTTAAGAATTCAAATGATACTAATGCATATTTAAGATTTGTTTTTATGTCATTCGCTGCTTTACAACTTCAAAACTACCCGAGATGTAACCTATTTCATAACTTTGATTTTATTGTTTTCTTTCATTCTTTGATTGCTATAATTCCTTTTAACAAGCAGTGTCATTATCGTGCCAAATATTATTATTTAGTCGCAAACATTGTATAGATGCGTAAATAATTTAATTTTTAAGAAATTTTAATTGCCTTACATTGCATTGCATCGGTAACAAAAACGTAACTCCAATTCAAACAGATTTTGCTTACACACAGGGCTTGTCTTAGTATTACCGTCGCCCTTGTCGAGATGTTTAAGGTGGGCACCTTTTTCTAACTGCTATAAAAAAATCATACGAAAATTGGCGCCCTCGCTGCCTCATTATGTGCCTTCGGTGCTCCTTTAGTTTCGGCGCCCGGAGCGTTTGCCCCATCTCACACTAAAGGCGGTACTCATAGACGGATAATATAAGTTGAAATATATGTGTGGTATAGTTTGTTCGTCATATTGATATTGTATTGAAAAATTCGTGTTTACTGTGTAAAAACACTTCTAAGACTGTAATTGTTTTAACATAATTTTGATTATGTTGGAATAAGCAATGCATAATTTTTTACTATAAGTTACGGACATTCTAAGCCAAGATTTCTTGCACAGTTCATATAATGCATGCATGCATGGATGCATAATGCATGCATGCATGCATAATGCATGGTCATATAATGCAGACAGACGACGACGCGGAACAATTAACAAGATGCTGCTTTTATATGCGTCTGTAGGAAAAAAAGCTCTGGTCAATGGTAAAATTGCCATTTTATTATCTTATCGTTTGCACAGATGACTGTTACCGTAAGTGAAGAAGGTTTTTCTGAAATCAACGCGAGGGACCCGACTACAAGTGTCACTGCAGTTTAGAATCACAGTTTATTGAAAACATTAAAATCATCAGTATAAATGAACGTGTAAACATATTGTTCGTACTAGTATTGGGTATATCGTCGTAGCTCGGTAAGATTGTCCAAACAATATAGAAAGCTATTATATTTTAACATTTTTTGTGTTTGTCTCAACTCTTCTATAAGAATTTGAAATTTCTGTGATATTACTTTCGTTTAAGATTATAGTTATATTATAGATTTTGATTTTAATGTCTGGTATAAGTTGATGCTCCTTATTTTAATTATTTGAACTATCACTTCTCGTTTTTTTTTTTAATATGTCAATATTATAAAAACATTACTTAATTGTTTGCTGATTAGTTCTGCAATACACTGTGTCAGGACTTAATTCCGTATATTTTGATGTATCTACATTCAAAGGGTTAAAGCGCTAAAGTTAAGCAGAACACGATACCCGTAATCTTATATAATACAGCCAAATTTGTTAAATACCTCCAATTACCTCAATTGAAATCACTTTTAACCCCGTAATTAACAGTAAGAATAAAAAAACATGCAGAAAACATGTCTTTCATTGTTAAAATTAAAGATGTCGATTTATGTTAGATTGTACAAAATATGCTGTTAGTAATCAGTAATACTGACTCCTATTACCGACACATTTGGAGGTAGAAAATAAAGTCTGGGTAAAGCTTAACATTTTGTAAATATATGTATCCTGTTCAATGTTCCTCATTTACCAGTGAGGTTTTATATACGATATTGTGCTGTACTTTATGGCCGGCTTAAATATAACTCTAATGTCGTTAAGACGTTATTTGTAAATTTTTAATTTGTACTTCATATGTTTTATTTTTAAGCCATTCCCGCAGGATATGTAATATAATAAATATTTCATGTGATATTTTTGTTTCATTTTGTTTCTGAAATTACAAAGTTTGATACATTTTTATTAAAAAGAAAGGATTTTTAGTTTTACTTTAAGATTCTCAAAATTTGTTACTCTATGCGGTTTGAAAAGTGAATACGTTTTGGTCCTTCGAGCCGGATTTTATACATTTTATACAATCGGTTAAAGAATTATAGTAACCATCATATTTAGGATTAAGAAAAACAACATAATGATTTGTGTATCGTATTTAATTTCAATGAAATATGTTTTGATTCATAGAATAGGTTAGAACAAAATATAACTATACAATTTTGTAAACCCTGGTATTTGCTATAAACATACTAAGTAATTTCAAAACCTAGTGTCGTACAAATAATATAAACGGTAACATGATCAAAGGGAGAATAAACTTTAAAAATTCCATTCAAACGATCGTCTTGTTTGAAATTAATATCGGTTTTTAAATATTCTATTGTTAAAACAATTAAGTAAACTTTCACATTCAAACTGTTATTACAACATATCTAAATATTACACATTTTGATCTAATAAAAATAAAACAATTACTTGACATTGTATTTCATTTTAAAATACTGCAATAAGAAATATTAAAAAAAAATACAAATTCCTACTATACTAAGTATACACTTTATCATCTAATCTAGTGTCCAAATACTAATTAATCTAAACATGAGGCTATAATAATATAGATGCAAAACTTCTGTAAAATATACTCCTATGGATATTATGAAAAAGCAGAGTTTGCTAGTACATAATAAAATATTTTTATAAATCTTTTATGGCGGGATTATATATGAAATAAATGTGTTTCATTTAACTACTATAATAACATTTGTTTACTTATTTTAAAACACGAGGAAATATCAACGAAATCAAATGATTTAATAAATTTATTGTATCATGCACCTGAAAATTGCTTGATGAAAAATTTATTAAAATGGTGATCACTGTATGATTTTCAAATATCACTTCTCTATAAAAATAGCCAGCTACATGTTTTGGTTATAAATATAATTTTTGTATCTGACAGTGATTTTTAAGACAAATATTTTTTTTGATGTCTGAATACATGGCTAAATAAGATTTTTACGCTATAATTTATATCAAGCTAATCAGGACGATTGATCAGGAAAATGTTACAAATAATATCAGAATTTTACTACTAGGGATAAATTCGCAAAAAAACTATACCGATCTCGCATACTTTTACGCTATTTGTTTAGTATCTTTGTGTTTTGTAAATTGTTCTCGTGATCAAACAACGGTCCTGTATTATAAAATAGTTATTGCTTTTACAATTCTAATACATTTTAAATAATAGTGATTTTTGTCATAGAGATGAAATCTATACACAGTTACACTGATTAATTTTATATAATTTATTTATTGAAGTTAATTGTGTTCAGTGGAGGGTCGCCTGGTGTTGTTCCTCTGCGGGATGACGAACTCTGCGTGTCGCGGCGCGCTGAAGGGGTTGGTGGCGGAGAAGGGGGCGCTCA